GAAGAAAGCAGAAATAACACATATTTGCTGAATTAGGTTTAAATAAGCAGAAATGAACACAAAATTTAGGAAATTAGCTTAAAAAAAGCTGAATTTAGCAAAGGATAGCTGAAAAGTAGCTGAAAAATCTGAAAGAAGCTTAAACTACCAGAAGGAAATGGAAGGAGCTGAACTGTGCTAAAAAATGTTGACTTAGCTGAAAAAGCTAAATTTAGCACAAAAAAGCTAAGTAGTAACTGAAATAGAAGAAAAAGCTTGAACTAGCAGGAAAAAAAGCTGAAAATAGTAGAAAATAGCTGAAAGGAGCATAACATTCTGAAATTAGCATAAAGAAGTTAATTAGACTGAAAGTAACAAATTACCAAGAAAACCTTGAATTCATCTGAAAACAGCTGAAATTAGCTAGAAATGGTAAAAAGTAGCTAAAAAGGTAAATTAGCAGAAGACAGCAGAAAGAACAAGTTTGCTGAAAGAAGCAGAAATGAGTGCAAAAAAAAGTGGAAATTATCTGAAAAGCTGAAATAAGCAAAAGCAGATGAAAGGTAGCTAAAAAGCAGAAAGAAGTTTAAATTTCCAGAAGTAGAGAGAGAACAGTTTTGCTGAATTAGGCTGAAAAAAGTTGAAATGAGTGCAAAAAATGTGGAACTAGCCGGGGGAAAAAATTAGCATAAGAACAGCTAAACAGTAGCTGAAATAGTATAAAAAGCTTGCATAAATAAGCTGCAAGAAGCATAATAAGCTAAAATTAGTATTAAGAAGTTAGAAGCACAAAAATGTTGTAGTTAGCAGGAAGAATCTGAAAGGAGCGCAAAACAGCTGAAATTAGCTGAAATAGCTGAAAAAAGTTTAAATTTGCTCAAGGAAGCTGAACGGGAACAAAATGTGAAAGGAGCAGTAAAAGGTTGTAAACAGATCGAAAGATTTGAAGGATGGAAAATGAGCAACAACAAAAAAAAAAAAGGCAGAAAAGGCTAAATACTGTATTTCAAAAAGCTAAAGTTGCAACAAAACCAAAAGTCTTCCCTTCTCCTGAACGTTTCGATTTAAGATTTGTTGAAATAGCACAAAAATTGTGGAATGAGAGCGATGCAGAAAAACATACGGAAGAAAAATGGATCTCAGTGTGAATGCTTCATAAACATTCACACAATTAATGCAAACATTATGAGTAGAGTTGAAAAGCTACAAGAATAGGTGAATGAAATTAGAACAGCTGGAAAACAATTGGAAAATTCAGATGCTCATGTTTATTTGTTGTAGTTTGCTTCTCATGATCCTCCAAATGTAAGACCTTTTCAGGATCTAGTTAGACTGAAAACTAAAGTAGCTAAATCCCTTTGTCAGGAAGGATTCAAAGGTGTATTAAAGCTTCCTGCATGATTTAAATGCGAGTCCACTGACCTCTCTGTGAGTGAAACGTTGCAGAACAGAGGGTTGATGATGGAACAAATGTGATATCTGTGCTAAATGTGCAGAATTTGTATCGAGATTAGGTAAACTGCTACAAATGCCGTAACTCAATACCAGAAGGTCAAAGGTGATAAAAGCAGCAAAGGCTCAGGGTCTTTGCAGATTCTTGCAATCACTGAAAGCATGTACCCTGTTTGTTTGCGTTACCATTAATTAATATTCACTGTGCAAGAACTAGTAGCTATGTACTTACATAACTCACTTTGCCTACAAGTTAAAATATTGTTTCCTGAAATGTGTGCTGCTTATTACTGGTAAAAATGTATAATTTAAAGAAATCCAAGAACTCACTAATCTGACAATGGATTTGTGTCTACGCTGGTCCTGTTAGACCTCAGTGCTGCATTTGATACAGTTGATCACAATATTCTTCTACAGAGACTTGAATATGAGGAACAGCTCTAAAATGGTTTAAATCATATTTATCTGATAAATTCCAATTTGTAAATGTAAATAATGAATCTTCATCATAAACTAAAGTTAGTCATGGAGTTCCTCAGGGTTCAGTGCTTGGACCAATACTCTTTACCTTGTATATGCTTTCATTAGGTAAAATTATTAAATAGCATGAGATACATTTTCATTGTTATGCTGATGATACACATTTATATTTGTACATGAAACCCAATGAATCCACTCAGCTACTTAGACTACAAGCATGTCTTAAAGACATAAAAACCTGGATGACACTTAATGTTTTGCATTTAAACCTAGACAAAACTGAGGTATTGGTTTTTGGACCTGAGCATCTTAGGAATTAATTTTGCAGTCTTTATCCCTCTTTAGATGACATTAATCTGAACTCCAGTTCTAATGGCAAGATAAATCATATCTCTCCAGTTTTAGCTTCTCTCCATTGGCTCCCTGTCAAATTCAGAACAGAATTCAAAATCTTACTTCTAACCTACAAAGCCCTCAACAACCTAGCTCCATCTTATATTACAGATATTATTGTTCCATATTTTCCTAAAAGAGCACTTCATTCTCAGACTGCAGGCTTACTCGCAGTTCCTATAGTTTCCAAAAGCAGAATGGGAGGAAGAACTTTCAGTTATCAGGCTCCTCTCTTGTGGAACCAACTTCCAGTTTCTGTCCATGAGGCTGACACATTGTCCAGTTTGAAGACTGGGCTTAAGACTTTCCTTTTTGATAAATCCTATAGTTAGGGTTGGCTTATTATGCTGCTATAGGCTTATCGAGTACTGGAGGACAAATTGACCTCATTTACTTAAAATAATTGTTACAATTGAATAGTTTTCATTTGATTCTATTTCTATCTTAACATGTGATTCTCAACCTGCCATTGTGTATCTGTTCTTACCAAACCCAGCCAGTCAAAGCAGATGGCCGCTTGTCCTGAGTCTGCTTCTGCTAAAGTTTCTTCCTCATGCGGGAGTTTTTTCTTTCCACTGTCGTCTTCATGCCTCAAGTTGAGAGTTCTGCATTAGAGTTCAACTCAAAGCAGTCTGCTCCTCAGATAATTAATGGTAAATTATTATTTTTATATATGAATGTTTCTGTTCAGTGCCCTGAGATGACTTCTGACTTGGCGCTATATAAATAAATAACCTGAAAACCGAACTGAAAACACTATCTTCCCATTTGTCAAAAAGATGATCCACTGTTGTGCCACCAGTATTGAAGTTTCACACCAAATGCATCTTGTTCCAAGAGTTTACCTTTCATGTATCTTTCACTGGTTCCACTGGTTGATTAGACAAATGTTTTCTTGCTAATTGCAAATTGTCTGTTTTTCCATAAGAGCAGCTATAACTGTGCTCTATTATCACACACAATTATTATTATTAGACCTTTATTTATACAGTTGAGTTCCCATTGAGCCTCGAAGACTCATTCACAAGAGAGACCTGTTACATACGACATACAGGCAGATGAGAAAAAGTGAACACCAGGGTGGAGGACGCAAAAAAAAAAAAAAAATCATGTCTCTCACACCATTTCCAAATGTTTCTTGATAGATTATTTTCACTTTAAAATAAGTTGGTATTGTGACTTTCATTGGTCTTACTGGATAGCACTGCTGTAGTAACTAATGGCTAAGAGTTTTAAATAATAAATGTTTTGCTAAATGCTCATTGTCCTTTTTCAATAAGGGAATTTATTACCGAATCGTCAGCATTAAAAAACACACACAAAATGTTTCTGGATGTAATATTCTAAGTTCTAAAGTATTTTATTCCCACTGTGATTCATGTAACTTTTACTGGTTAGCACTGCTCTAGTATGGCTGATCTTTAATGTAATGAATATGTTGCTAATTGCTAATTTGTCCTTTGCTCACAAGGGAATCTATTGTTGCACTGGCAGCATTTAAATACAACAAAAAAGCTTCTGAATGTACCAGTTTAGCTTTTGACATTGATTCTTCCAAGCTATTTTAACGCAACTTTCACTGGTTAGCATCAATGTAATAGCCAATGACTTGTAGCCTAGCTTTTAGCATGTTGCTAAGTATCTTTACTAACGGTATTTTGTTTTTTGAGCCCCTAATGGATTTGGATTTACTTATAATGTTTTACAGTAAGGTTTTCAGCCACTGCATACATCTCCTTTCAGTTTTAAAACTGAGATGATCTGAAAACTACATTTAGCTCCTATTAGCAAATAAAATACGTTAGCAATAGCGTGTGAAAACACTGAAGCAGTCTGGGTTTATGCAAAGAAAAAAAAGGCAAAACAGAGCTATCATATTCACACAGAAGCTTAAAATTGAAACCAAATTATTTTAACACATTTTACGTCATCCTGTAGCTTGACGAGCTAAAACCGAGCTAACTAATTTCACTATAATGAGTCCATGCGTAGGCTTGGTTTATTTTGTATTAAACATAAAAGCACAGAAGTGAACAGCAAAATGTTTATTGTCACAGCTGTTCACGTTCAGAATAAGTTGTCTTTACAGCCGATCAAAACCACGAAAGCTAACCAGTGGGTCCAGACTGATGTTAAGAGACAGTCTTGCACATGATTGCCAACCGTCAGAGAGAACGCTGAGGTTGATGTGAGATTGAATCATAAGGGATTCAGTCACAGAGTCTCCAAAACCACTTAGAAATTAAAGGGAGGGAGAAAAACAGGCGTCCTCCACATCCTCGATTAGCTTAGCAGAACAAGCCATCAGCGTGAGGCTGTAATCAAGCTGTCAGCATCGAGGACCGGATCTTAATGAACGCAAAGACATAGTGTCACCCAGTTTCCACGTTTTTATTTGGGAAAAAGTAGGAAATGACAAAGGGACGGTAAGATGTAAAGACAAAACTGCAAAAAGGCAGAGTGACAAATCAAATCTTTACCACCTTTTGGGCAGCCTTCTGCCGGCTCTGATTAAAGTCCAAACTCAAAGGAAACAACAAACGTAGCGGCGAACATCTAATCTCCCTGAAAGCAGATGCCAGTCGAGCTAATACCAATCTGCTGGACCCAACAGAACACGTCTGACAGATTAGACGCCATTTCGTTCACCCTGTTTGAGCAGCAAAACAAACACATCGGATACAAACACGCCTCACCGAAGTTTAATGTTCAAACGTCTGCATGCTTCCTCTTCACACCCAGAACTAAAAGGTATGAGAATCTCAGTGCTGCTTTGGGAATAGGTCGGTCCCTCGTTGGCTGCCCCAGCTCTCGGTGATCAGGATTAGCTGAATGGATCATCCCCTGCGTAAAACAAATCGACCCGTTCATCCAGATTTGGAGACGTTTCACTGCGGATCAGAACACTTTTTAACTCGTACTGTTCCTGTTGCACCACTGCAGAGAACAAAACGAACCAGTGACGACGTAAAACTCTGTCTGGTCCTCCAACTTGATTTCAATCTGAATTCTTTGGACAACGCATTAGGTACGCCCAGGTTTTTTTCTGAACAGGAAATCAACCGTCAGATATTTTTTAAAGCTTTTTTTTTTTAAAGCTGCAGTGGCACTCAAAAAACAGCACCAACCTGTGATGGAGGCTGAACTTTAAATCACTGCGTTTGCGAACAGGAACAGAAAATTAGGCATCAGCCGCGCCTCCGGGGAGACAAACAGGTGCTGATTAATGCTGGATTTAATGCATATTCACACTGACTGATGCACCATCCCATATGCAGTTTCCCCTGCTGAGCAGTCACCCAATCCGACCCCTTGTTAAAGCACGACTCGTGCTGTTTAAAAACACAACATTGGCGCAAACTGCTTTTCAACAAAGCATCAAAAAGTGGTTGATTCTTTCATAAATCACAAAACTTAACATTGAAGGAACGAGATTATAAACATCAGTTTAAGTTAACATGCATTCACAGATAATCATGGTTGATATGAATGCAGGAGAGGTTGAAAGTAGGCCTGTGGTGATAAACAATAAATCAATTAATTGTGCGATAAATGAAAATTATTGACCTAATTTTCATTTATCGGTTTCATCGTTGCTTCATGTCTCTCTCTTTCTACTGAAGACACTGGATGACAAAAGGCTCAACTCTGGTGCTCTTCACTGACTCCTCCCTTTCTCTTTTCTCGTTAAAATCTGTTTTAACGATCCAAAAATCGTGTTTCTGGATCGTTAAAAGCAGCTAAGCTGAGAAGCTAAGCTACGAGCTAAGCTAACAGGCTGACATCAGGAAAAAACCTCCGTCTAGTCGAAGCTCCAAAATTCACGGTTGAAACCCGTGCCTTCGTCGAAAAAGTTGTTTTTCTCTGCAAAAAGAAGCTGAGAACTTGTTTACTGATTTTTTTTATTAAAAGCTTTGTGTGACAAATGCTATGCTAAAGAGCTCAAACCACACTGAGCGTCCGCCACTTTCAGAACCAAAAAACAGGAAGAAGAGACAGCCCATGTCACGTCAAGGGGCCTCCCTTCCATTTTTCTTAAAGAGACACGCTGCTCGCTCCCTCACTATCCATCCTTCGGTTCAAACAGTTTTATACTGCCAGCCGGTGGTCAAAAAAGATACTATACACAAAAATTAACCAACAATTCTTCTTAAATTTGACAATAATTACTAATTATTGTCAAATTTCAAACAATATTATTGTTTATCACAATAATTTCTGAGACAATTAATCGCCCAGCAAAAATTGTTATCGTGACAGGCCTAGTTGAAATGTCCAAATATCAGACTGTTATATTGGTCAAATTTATCCAACTTTCATCCCCAAACCAAGACCCTTTATCAAACGCTTGAATTCGTGTTTCACTGACTGGTGATGACTTGTTGGCTAAAACATTTCACTAGGGAGTCTCCAAAATGTCTCAAAACTTTTAGATTTCTCAGTTTCTCCAGGGCTTGTAGTTAAATCACTTGCTCTTTCAGAGAATATCTAAGATTGAGGTGGGTACGGTAATGGCAGAGGGGTGCAATGAAATAATGTGCACGGGCTAGAACAGGGGTGCCCACGCTTTTTCAGCATGCTACTTTTAAAATAACCAAGTCAAAGTGATCTACCCCGTTCACACGGGAACAACCTCTGGAAACGTTAGTGGGTTTTTTTTTCCAATTTTTTGGGGGGTAATAAACAAAAAATGAGTGAGTTTACACGAAAACACTGTTGTTTCCGTGTCAGTCGGGTTGCCAGATAAGAAATTATGACCTATAGTACTGCTGCTTTAAAATGATGGTATTTTGATCTACACTGTCATATGTGTTGAGTAAAGATTATAAGATGAGGTGTGTGTTGTGTTTGTTGAACATGTGCACAGAAAAGGAAGGGATAAATAAGACATTTTAAATTTATATGACAACCAATGAAAATCTCCACTCTGAGACCTGGATTCAGAAACCATCAGTTTCAGATAGAATCAGGGCTGTTGACGTGTAAATGAACGGCCGAACGTTTCACGTCGCGTAAACGGGGCCTCAGATTGGCTGCCCTGTCTGTCAATCAAGAGACAAATTTCATATGAGGATGGATTAATTGGCTGAGGTCAATTTGTTAATGCCATGCCATCTACTCATAATACCTTTGAGATTAACTGGTAGATCAAGATCGACGTATTGGGCACCCTTGGGCTAGAATGTAATTTTGCAAGCCGTGCACTCAAAAAATCAAATGCCATGTTCAAAAATGGCCATGCAAAATGCACGGCACAACTCGATGGTCGCTTGTTCGCCAACTAGTCTCCAACCGTCAGAGCCCAGAGAGCTACTGCCTAAATGTTTAAAGTTAGTGCCGTACTAATACCATCACCCAGAGAGGATTGTTGTAATCACTTATCCTGGCATTTAGATGAAAGAACTAAGGATTGGATCGAAGCATAAAGCAGTAAATCTACTTTCAGTTCTAACAACTGCTTGTTTTGGTTTGAAATGTGACTAAGAGCACCAGCATCTGGTTGTTTGTTTGTTTCAAACCAAGTAAATCTGATTTAAGAGAGGCCTAATTACCCAGATCTGGACTAAGCTATCCATCCTTTCACATCTATCTTGGGCTCTGCCCAACAGCAAAACGAAAATCAAATATTTTCACTGCTTACAAGTTTTCATAGTGATAAGTCACATGCTTTGATATAAAAAATAAAGTTGATTAAATTTGCAAAAGCTTCATTGTTCCCAGTTTCTTTTAGCTTGTCTGTTAGGTCACAGATTTTCCCTCAGAAGTTAAGTCATTCACTTTTTTTGGTTGTAGTTTTAGGACGGAATCACCCTGTCAAGATTTTACATGCCCCAATAATAGTCTGGTTTGAGGTCAACTACAGGAACAAGGGTGAACTTTTCTGCCTCTAATCCAACGCACTGTAAAACAACCTTTTAAAGTCTTAGCTTTCTACCATTTAACTTATAAGTCAAGTGGCGTTTACATCTTCCAAATTTATTCAGGAAATGTTAAGCGTTAAAAGCAGAACCAGGTTTAGGTTTATTGTCATATGCAGCTCAACACAAGGTCAACAATGCAATTAGGGATGCACGATATTGGATTTTTGGCTGATATCCGACATGCCGATATGTTAAACTTGTTCGTCCCATAACCGATGCAGATACCGATATTTTATATACTTTCCTTTGTCAGAACATAGCTCTCTTATTTAGGTTTATTTGCTACAAAAATTGTGCAACAGCTGTAAGAGCTGATGACATTTATTCAATAACAGACATATGATATGCATAGCACTTTAACTTATATTAAATGAAAAGTGTTAAATGTTATTTATTAGTATTAGTCACCTGCGATGCTGTCTCACTTGTGGAGGCTTGTTCCAGGTTCCTAGCTGCAGTGTGGGATCCTCTGCACTCCTGTGCATGAAGGACAGCCTTTTTAAGTTCAAAGTTTTTGTCTATCCATTGTGCCATAAGACTAATCATGCTAACGGGGCTAACACTTGACGTCCAAATGTCTGTGGTAAAACTCACCCAACAAGTCGTGCTATCAGCTATTAGCTTCTCAATGACGTCGGAAATGACGGCTTGTAACTCGGGTAACGATACGTTGGAAAAATACCTCCGACTGCGGACGATTTAGCGAGGCTCAACGTAGTCCATAAATCTTGAGAATCCAATATCCTCACCAACAAAAAATAAAACTTCCACACGGCAGACATTTTAAATTTTTCTCTCCACCATGATATCGAGTAGGTGCACATGACATCATCACGTTGTGCTGCCGCTGCAGGCAAAACCAGCGTCTTTTATATCGGAAAGTTATTTTAATGGAATGACCAATGTCCGATATTGAACTTTAATGCTAATACCGGCAGTTACCGATACACGCCGATAATATCGTGCATCCCTAAATGCAATGAAATGCTCTGGACAATGAGAACTGCCGCGACTCGCCCAAAAAAAAAAATCATCAACAAGAAATACCAAAGCATGCAGCAAAAATAACAAAAACAAGGTGCCAAAAGTGAAAAAGAAATATATCTAGAGCAGCATGGTTCTATTAGCAGAGTGGTTCTGATAGCAGTGAGGTTCTCTTAGCAAGATGGTCCCATTAGCAGCATGGTATTGTAGCAATGTGGTTCTTTTAGCTGCACACACATGTCAAACTCAAGGCCCGGGGGCCAAATGTGGCCCTCGTTGACATAATCGTTTTTTTTCATTCAACCTTTATTTAGACAGATAAATCCCATTGAGCCTCGAGGACTCATTTACAAGAGAGACCTGATCTCTGGCCCCCAAGATGATATGTTAAATGTAAAATACTTTTATCACTTGAATTTTTTCAGTAATCTTTGATTATGATGTCAAAAGTGCAACAGGGAACATGAGACCAATCAAACTCTCATTGAGGAACCTGTGACTAAGAAAAGATGTTGGGTATCTGATTCGAGTAAATGTAGATTCTGAAATTGGCCCTTAGTTTGAAAAAGGTTTTCATTTTGGTCCCCATTTGTAAGTGAGTTTGACACCCCTATTTTAGCAGCATAGTCCTATTAGCAGAGTGGTACTGTTAGCAACATGGTCCTGTAAGCAGCATGGTACTTTTAGCAACATGGTCCTGTTAGCAGCATAGTACTGTGAGCAGAGTGGTTGTGTTGGTATTGAGGTTCTCTTATCAACATGGTCTTCTTAGCAACATGGTCCTGTTGCATGGTACTGTTAGCAGCATGGTACTGTTAGCAGTGTGGTTCTTTTAGCAGTG